GCGGATAAATCTTGGAACGATTCCGTCGACGTGAAATAAAAGTTCTGTCTGCAAGTGCACCACGAGCATCCTATCCCACGCTCGAACATGCGCAGGCTGTTCAGAATTCTGTACCGTTGTCGTTCAATGGAAGTGTGCTTTTGGTGTAATTGAATGTAATAGATCGACGGCGCAATGTGGCTCGGGAGAGGTGAGGGGGGGGCGCGTCTTGGCGAAGTATTGTAAACTCGAACATTCCAGCTTCTCACGGAACATTCCAGCTTTTCACGCATGTTAAGTGACTGCCCTCACCTCTGACCCCCTGAATTGGTTACATTCCCCCTGACTCTCGAATTTCCTGCTGCAGCACCCCCCCCCCTCAAGCCTGCGCCTGGATTGACACTGTTCTGATGGTTTTCCAGATCAGCGGGAAGAACTACAGTACGGGAGAAAACCGTCACGAATCGTTCAGAAAATCTGGTCCTCTTCGTTCACCAGTATGAGCGCTAAAAGCAGAAGACTGTCAGCATCATCGCAGAAGTCCGATAGTGAAGAACAGGAACAAGAAGAAGCATCAGTAGTGTTAGACATCGATTTGTTAATGGTTGATGAGGATGATGTTGAATACGGCGAGATATATAGATCAGATTAATCTTCTGCCTTTCTGGACTGCCAAGCTTCAGAGTGCGTCTCGGTTGTTTTCCTTCATTCCGCTACTAGTCATTGGCGTCGTTTTGCCAACAACATTAAAAATACATGTTCCTTCAATTAGGAGAAGTAACAAGTATTAATCGTCAGTACTCTACAAGAGTTTTTTTATTGGCCACAGATGAAAGCGTTTTTGAAAAGCCTTGTTTGCATAACGTGAAAAATAATTCTCTTTACACATTTCATTGACTGCTGTCGTTCGCTTTTCCGTCTTCCCAACCCCTGCTTCACAATTCCTCCTTCTCAATGCTTTAGTGAATTTCCAAATAAGTGAAAGGTAGTATCTTATTGAGCGGTTCAGAATCTGTCAAAACCCGGAAGAGTCAAGCTGCCGTTTTACTTAGATCCTTAGAAAGGCACTTGATTGCGGAGTGTGCTATCATCCAAGGGGAGAGTTTTCCTGGGTGGTATTCAATCCTTCCCCCAGGGGGATATATCCCCCTCCTCTGATTCAATCCTCTGAGGGGACAAAAAAAGGGTTGCGTCATAGGACCTAGCATACCTCTGTGTTTCTACCTGCCAGACAGTTAGAGCAGCGCGACCCCTCAGGGAAAAGAGTGCTTCATCAGTGGAGGGTAGTAGCGCTGCTCTAACTGTCTGGCAGGTAGAAACACAGAGGTATGCTAGGTCCTATGACGCAACCCTTTTTTGTCCCCCCAGAGGATTGAATCAGAGGAGGGGGATATATCCCCTGGGGGAAGGATTGAATACCGCCCCTGTGAGTGAGACGCAAGTGTGGCTCGAGCGGGTAGGGGGGCGGGGCAATCTGGAAAGGCCTCTAGGACTAAGCCTAGGCAGCAGGGACGAACTCCAGAGAATACGAAAAGTGCTTCTGGACACCAGAGTGCCTCCCCTATTCAAAGGCTTAGTCCTGAAACTGTGCTTCTCCGTGATCTTGACGCGAATGTTACACGGTAGCCCCTCCGAGCGAGTCCTGGTATTCTACTGGGTTCTCTAGTGTGTTATCGCCGTAAAAATGACACTGAACAGAATTCTGAACAGCCTGCGCATGTTCGACTGTGAGATAGGATGCCCGTGGTGCATTTGCGGACAGGACGTTTTAATTCACGTCGACCGACGTCGTTCCAAGATTTATCCGCGTTCTTTGGGCGCTCCCGTACAGTAATCCAACACGCAAGAAATTCCCCGTCATATTCGATGTTATTGTTGCACGCACACATAAGACACGCTATCACACGCGCAATTAAGCTCCTTGCCTCAGAAGAGCTTAAACGGAAAAATAGACGTTGCCGGACAGTACGAGGTCTTCGCCGAGGAGCGCAAATCAGGCTTTTACCCTTTACTAGGGTATGTGCACAAATTTTAATCTAATTTGAATGAAAAGATCGTGTTTTTACAATGACTGAAAGCCTTTATCCTAAAATTTGAGAGAAATTTTCGGTCATCTTGTTGAGGCATTTTGTTTAACAAATGCTCCTAATCGTATTTTTTACAGACAGACATGGCATTCAGACATGACAGAAGAACGGCACTCGTGTCCTTAGGGGGACATTCAAATCAAGGCATTTAAAAACCATGAACTAGGATTAGCTCAGGAGTGAGGAAACAGCAATGAGAAAGGAAATTGCTCACATGTCCCAGAATCCCTTCCTCTCCCTATGGCTTAGCTTCAACCATTATAAATGGCTCACTCACTTGAATGTTCCCCTAATGACATGAGCGCCGGTATGACTTTCGCTCTTATATAAGTTTACATATTGAAAAGCAACTTTGTCGACAACTTAATATATATCAGTATACATCATATATTTGATTGATATTTGAAGAAGAAGAAGAAGATACGTTCCTGCATATCTTTTGCCCTTTCTTTGTTTCGGATTTATTGCGCCTCCTATTTGAACTCGTTACAAAGTCAGCACAGACAACGACGAAAATCGACAATGAGCGCCGGACACGGCAAATGTTGCGTGGTCTTGAAGCATGCTATGGAAGAGGAAGGTCCGGGCCTCTTCAAGCAAAAGAAACCAATTGTTCTCCAAAATGTGCTGCTGGGTATTTGAGCCCATGAATTTCGATCTGTTTTTCTAGCTGAGATTTTGTCAGAAAGCTCATTAAGTTTCGATGAGGCTTATTTTGTTACGAAGCAAGATTATCTGGAACTTGCATTCTGTTCGTACTGATAAGATGCACGAACCTTGTACAATGAAATAATTTATGACCCGAATTACTTAATTTCTCGGCAACAACCGAGCTTAGGCTGGAGGGTTTTCTATCAATGTAAAGAGGCGATCAATTAGTCTAGATCAAATAGGAACCAAATTTGCGCATATACAAGTCCATCTATTACATCTATTACATCTACCAACATGTTTTCACACTGTGTGAGAAACATATTGCTCAAGTCTCTTGGCTGCAGGGGATTGACGTGCTCCTCGACGAAGACCCCTTACTTTCCGGCAATACTATTCTGCCCTTCAAGCTCTTCTGAGTCAAGAGCCTAGTTTGCGCGTGTGGTAGGGTACCTTGTGTGTGCGTGCATCAATAACATCGAAGATGACGATTAATTTTTCGCGTGTAGGTTACTGTACGGGAGCGCCCAAAGGGAATATGGTATGATTAGTCACCCAGCGCTGCGGTGGATTACGCTGGCAGCGCGGGCAGCGCGGCGGGCAAGGCCTTAGCGCCATTGCCGCGCACTTTTGGGTGCGATAGTCGCGCCCCTAGTGCTTGGGAGCCCACTATCGCACCCCGGGAAGGCTTCTGCTGGTTGCCTAATCCTGACTCGTGGCTTGATTATAATAGATCAAGCTTAGTAAGCTGTAAGGCCGCTCGAAGCCTCGTAACCTTCCATTTTGGATCGACCTCGAATTTTGACTCCCTTACGGAAGACTTGCAGTTACGGAGTTGAGGGATTCGTGAGTTCGTTTCAGGGGGGGGGGGGAGCTGACGCGTACTTACTCTTTGTCTATAAACAATCTTTACCGCTCAAGAGTTGTCGACCGGTCGAATTCTGAAATGTTGGATGGGCAAAGACACATCTTTTTACAGATATTCCGGACAAATCCCCGCCAGCCAGTGTTCTACTTGGCAAGCGTTATTCCTAGCCTTCGAATTCCAATAAGGTATCTTCGACATACATATTTTACATTTACATTATATATTTGCACATTACAAGCATGTGGGTATTACAGAATCTGTAGAGAAGCTTTTAATTAATATACTTCCCAGCTTTCCTCAGCTATTTCTCAATCGCTCTTTCAGAAAACTGTACATTGCGGCGGCACCTTTGAGAAAAAGCCGAGTCCCCGCTCTCTTCAACAAGATCTATAAAACTATAGATGAGAGAATCGAATCTCGAGTGGGTTTGGCCGAACCAATCTCATATTGACTTGAGTTCCTAGAAAGGATTTTTTGATCCGGACTCAGCACCTTCAGGCTAAAAATGCCGCAGCAGGAGTAATGACAGAGGGGCCGACAGATTTCATAGATCTCTTCTTAGACGCCAGAGCTGAGCAAGCCTTCCACGAACTCGGGCCGAGTTCTCGAAGACGGGAGTTCAGGTGAATTATCACCTACAAATGCTGTGTTTATAGAGTTCTAAAGTCTATGAGGGATTTGTTTTGTATCTGCCTTTTCAGGTGTCGAAGCATTTAACTAGAGAGGAAATCACTGCTCAGTGCTTCGTGTTCCTTCTCGCCGGTTTCGATACTACCGCCACGTCGTTAGCATTTGTCACCTATTTGTTGGCAAAACATTCCTCGGTACAGAAACATCTTCAAGAAGAAATCGATCAGTACTGCAATCGTGAGGTTTGTCCTATATAAGACTTTCTGTGCTGTATAGAAAGCTCAGGGGCATGTCGTTTTAATGTAGTCCTTTTCTTTGATACTAAATGGTGAACAAGAATGCTGAGGTGTAGGCAAAGGTTTCGGTCCAGCCGGGATTCGAACCCTGAACTCTTGTTACCTTTCTCAGCACAATTGCCCGGAAAACAACAAATCCGGGCACAAATCCCGGCTGGGCGCGAAGGTTTTGCCCACAACTACCATTCTTGTGATAACTTTTGTAACGAGAGCTGTCCGTAGAACAGAAGGTATCCAATAAAGAACAACTCAAAACCAGGTGACCAAACATTGTTTGCTATTGGAAATGACAGTAGAAGTGACAGCTTATGAAGAAAGAACGAGAGAAATGGCCTCAGGGACCCTTCATTTTGCACCTTAAGTTCTGCGCTCGACCAGGTTTCACGGTAGATGATGTCATAAATGCAAACAATTTGCTCTGCAATCTTTTGCCACAGATGGCATTCTTCACCATCAACCACCGATCATGGGCTGCGTCTGCCACCCAGAGGTGGAGCTTTCCATTAAGGCAAAGCTCGCCACGGGCTTTGCTGGTATTTTGGCACGTCTCAACCCCCTTAAGACGTTGCCTCTTTTTTCACAATGGGCAGATTTTCCTTCACTAAATTAAGATCCTACAAGGTCGAAGAAGAGGAGAATTACCTTGGGGAAGACGCGGACGCCTAAGGGTGCGGACCGACACGATCGCAGCGAAGGGTGCGCCCCCGGCAACCTAGCATGGTCGCCCCTGCGGCGCTATCGACGCGGCACGCCCACCGACTGGCTAACCACTCGCCGCAGGTCTCTAGCCGTTTAGCAGAGAGAGCGTTAGCGTTGAAGAGGGCAGCACCGATGAGAGTCGCATCAATGCGGAAATCAACGGGCA